TAACTAGGATAAACTAGTGCCACCTATACCATTACAGGTATAAATGGGACAGGTAAGTACCAATTATATTATTATTTATTAGCCAAAGGTATAACTGGGATAAACCAGTGCCACCTCATCGAGTACATGTGCCACTTATACCATTACAGTTATATAAATGGTACAGGTAAGCACCAATTATACCATTATTGATTACCCAATGGTATAACTGGGATAAACTAGTGCCACCTATACCATTACAGGTATAAATCGGACAGGTAAGTACTAATTATACTATTATTGATTACCCAATGGTATAACTGGGATAAACTAGTGCCACCTATACCATTACATGTATAAATGGGACGGGTTATATAACTGATCCAAGGACTAAATTTTGACTTTTTCAGAGTTACGATCTGGAGTATGGAGACTATTATTATTTAGTTTATGGCGGCCATTAGGCTTGGGCCAGTGTCAGTTTGTAAGACCAACATAAGAATTATGACGATTATGGCCAGTGTTCTTTGGAAATGTGTATAACAAATATCAGTATGGATATTAGCAGTCCTCTTAAGTTAGCAGTCCTGGTCCTGGTCCTGGTGTAACTAACTATATTGTAAGGTAATTGAACAATAGCTCAATATTTCAATTATTCGCGTCCTCAATTATATTATTTAGTACTTAATGTTGAACAACTTACAAGTAAATCGCTTATGTACAGATATTTCACGCCTTCACGAGTATAATTCCGTTCTTCCATCAAGCATAGCAAAAATAACCGATACAGTTACATTGTTTTAGACGCTTGGAAAATCATAAGTATCGTGACGATGGGACCTCCTTTGTCTCACCTTTTTGTCACCCTTTTCTTCGGTTCCTGGTCACCTACTTTGAAATTTTGAATTGTTCTTTAATTCGTTTTTTTCGACATTCTTACTTTTCTTGGATCCGTCGCCACTCTCTACTAAATTTCCGAAGCGACTAGATGTGTTCGACTTCATATCAAATTCTGACCAGTTATACTACTGAAAATCCTGTAACCTTGCTAAAAAGCTTGTAAAGCATGATATTTGTGTAAGTTCTTTGTAGTAAGTTCCTTTTTACCATGTCTAATCTGTATGTAATTTAAGTAGGGAGTATTTTATATGTTGTACCTGTGTTTATACCGTTATTCTATTTTAAGACAGCCTTTACCTTTACCTTTATTCCTTCTCCTGTTCTTTACCTATTGCTACTTTACAACAATTGATGTGGACCGAGCCTTTAACTTAATTACTCAAAACCTTCAGCCACAGTTTGGTATTACTTTGTGGAAATTAAGCAAGTGATATTACCTGTTTCGAGTGTAATGCAGATATCTAGCATGTAGCAAAGCGCAGAATTGTTCCCAGGAGCTGCCCTTGAGCGGTCCTTCGGCCGGCACCAGTGGCGTCATGTCACACTTTATGCTCAAGGTGGACGCGCTCTTTGACGGGGTGTCGGCGTCTGCGCAAGATATCGTTACCACTGTGATTAAGGAGGACTTGTTATTTTTTCTGGACTGTGTCTCTTGCTGTTTGTAGAATGTTTTCTCCGGTTACCACGCTGGTCCGCAATAATACAATTTGAATACAGGAATTAAAATTAATAATATATAGGGCGCACTATAAGTTTCCGGAACTGGCCACTTACATAAACAATATTTATAAAGTAATTACAACATTTGAAAATGGAACTCTTTGGCAGTAGAATAAAATTTGTTTCATCTGACTGTCACTTGTTTTTACATTGTGGCGTCGTTTTAGAAATTGGTTGTCTACATCACCATGGATTTAACTCGTGAAAATTTTCGTAGTATGATTTTCTACGACTTTAAGTGTAAGTGAACAGCTCAGCGGAGCTTCGTTCAGCTTCAAACTGCTTTTGGCGATGAAGCACCATGCAAGACGACTAGCTATAAGCTGGTTTGCAGAATTCAAACGCAGTCGTGTGAATCTTAGTGACGAATTTCGTGATGATCGCCCGTCCACTGCTGTGAGCAACAATAACACAAAACATACAGGCATATGACATACCATGAGATTTGTGCATCTTTAGGCATAGGCATAAGTCAAATGCAATCAATACTATTACTAATACATTTGGGTGTGAAAAAGCTGTGCTCTCGGTGGATCTCACACAATTTGACTGAGGCTCAAAAAACGGATCGCGTCACTTGGTGCAATGCCATGCTTACCACATTCAACGAAAGGGTGTCAAATTTGGTGTGGGACATAGTAACAGGTGACGAAACATGGATTTATAGTTACGATCCCAAAACAAAGCAGCAATCGAGCGTATGGGTCTTTCAAGATGAGCCGAAACGAACCAAAGTGGCACGCGTGCAAAGTACCTCTAAACGGATGATTGCTTCTTTTTTTAATAAAATTGGACACGTGTGGCTACTGTTGCTTTGGAGAATCGTTGAACCATGAATAGTGATTGGTACACAACCATTTGTTTGCCGGAAGTTATTGACAAACTCCGTAAAAATATTCGTAAACGCCGTATCATCTTGCACCACGATAATGCCAATTCTCACACGGCCAGACAGGCAAATGAATTTTTGAAGGTGAACAACGTTGACCTTGTGAGCCATGCCGCGTACAGTCCTGACCTGGCACCTTGTGACTTTCGTTTATTTCCAAAAATTAAGAACCAGTTACGCGGTCAACGATTTTCACCATCTGAAGAGTATGAAAAAATATGTTTCAGAGATTGTCACGGAGGAGTGGCATAAATGTTTTCAAAATTGGTTCATTCGTATGAAAAAGTGCATTAACGCTAACGGAGAATATTTTGAGAAACAATAAATTCATTTCTGACCGTTTATAGTATTTTTTTCTTATTCATTCCGGAAACTTATAGTGTGCTTACGTACAATTTGAATGCAAGTTAATAGTTACATCAGGGAAGCAATATTATTTAAGTGAGTCATCTTCAAAATATTCATTAATGGAGTAATAGTATTTCTGATTTAGTAATAATTTGAGATTATTACAAAATGTGTGTCATGTAGTTTGTTATAGATTGTTACTGCTCTATAATGTCGGCTATTTCGATACAATTCGATGCGGGGTGTTGGTAAAACTAAGTTTGAATTTCGGCGATCACTTTTAACAAGTTCAAAATTATTAATATTTTTCTTTACAAAATTTATTGTTGCCATTAAATATATACAATGTTCTTTTATAAAAATTGGTTTACAGCTATTTGTGGGTCGGATAATAAAGATTATATGAGTATACTTTATTTGTATAATAAAAAGATCTTTGGCGTCAGCACTGTGGCCCCATAATCAAATACCGTACCGGAGCCAAGCAAACGCATAGGTGTAATAGACTGTCTGGGCACACTCTACTTTTGCGTTACGTTTTAGTACAGATAGTGCATAGATAAACTGGGATAATTTGGTCTTTATGTTTTCAGTATGTTTTTCCAGTTTAGATGAGTACCTATTGTCAATCCTAATTGAATTGTTTGGTGTAAATTAATTTATTTCTCTCGTGAGTTTATTTCGGCGATCAATTTTAACAAGTTCAAAATTATTAATATTTTTCCTTAGAAAATTTGTTTCCAATAATTAATATAAAAATTTGTTTGCAGCTATTTGTCTGGGTTGGATATTATAGACTATACGAATACACTTTTTTGTATAATAAAAATATCTTTGGCGCCAGCACTGTGACCCCATAACAAAATACCGTACCGGAGCCAAGCCAACGCATAGGCGTAATAGGCTATCTGGGCACACTCTACTTTTTCGTTACATTTGAACACAGATAGTGCATAGATATACTGTGATAATTTGGTCTTTATGTTTTTAATATGTTTTTCCAGTTTAGATGAGTATCTATTGTCAATCCTAATTTAATTGTTTGGTGTACATTAATCTATTTCTCTCGTGGGTTTGGGTGTAATTTGTGGTTGTCTGTGTGTGTCCATGGCACCGACACAGGGTTTCCCTGGTGCTGGGCTATGAGCGTATGCGTTATTATTATTATTGTTTGCACTATTTTTAACGAATATGGACCTCGCAGCGACCAGTGCGGGGCTGTAGGATTCTTGGATCCCGCTTTGCTAGTAAAAAGATGCCGATTAAGATAGGCTACACACTTACTATATTCAATGGATATCCCTGTAGATGCTGCGGTTTCGCTGTCAGCTTGTTGACAGATGTTGAAGAAGACATGTTCCAGAGTGCTACACTCGAGCGAGTATACATTGAAGCCGAGGGCTGACTGCTGGCTTTCCAGTGACGTACACAGTTGGAGAAAGCTGGAGTTTTTATATAATTTTAGTGGAAGGAAGGAATCGCCATTCGAGACTTCAATTCAGCATCAGACGTCTTCTAACCGATAATGATGTAAAACAAACGAGGGTTACCATCTACTTGACCTTGAAAGGGTAGTATTGACTAGACAATAACATGGCGGGGATCTAAATCTGACATGTCTCTATCTCTCTCACAACTCTCTCACTCTCTTTCAAGTCGCGCCACTTGTCTGTGCTATCTTTCTGCTGACTCTCGTGTCATACGTTCGTCGGAGAACCTGAGTTTGAAAATCGCTTATATATTCTTCTAGAGCATAGAGAACAAGTCTTTTTCGGTTCAGGCAGCTCGTCTATGGAACAACTTAACTGAAACTATAAGACGTGCCCAATGGCTTGACTCATTTAAGCAATTGGTAAATGAACATTATTTATCTCTTAGTAACCATCGCGCAAAATAATGTGCATAGTATATAATCGCTAATAAATATCTATAACATGCATATTCTACGTATTGTATATAGACTACCGGGCTGCAAAAAAATATGCGCGTACCGTTTTTGTTTGGGTCTCTTTACAGTGTAGATGATGGATTTGTGTCAATATCAAAATGAAATAATACATATACGCACTTTACTACACACACAAATACACACACACACACACTCACACACACACACACACACACACTCTAGCTTAGAGAGAGAGAGGTTGGTATTTAGTCATACGCGGATATAACCCTAGTACTGACACCAGACTCTCAGAGTGTAATTGTTGCAGGAGTTTAGTACTGCGCGTCGAGTCAGCAAAAAAAATACTATTTGAGTTTTGACTGGAGTATCAACAAACAGCGATTACAAATAAAGTGGTGTCTTCCTTTTCTAATGCCCCTTACAGAACTTATCATTCACACACACATTATCATTCATTCACAGTATGCCTAAATATTGTAACAATCGCGAAAACCTAAGAACTGATCCCTACAATAGAATACGTTTATTTGTCAGAATACAGTAATGATGAAGGTCTTAAATAAAATTAGGTATATTGTATTCAACCTGCAAGCAAACAATGTTTCCAGTCTGTCTTCTTGACCCCAAAATAGAGTGACCTCATGTACTTTACTCACTCATTATGAACCCCGTCGTGGTCAAACAACGGCAACTGCATTTCGACAGCGGTCTCACTGGCTTCAACCAATGCCGCGTTTTTCACTTGTGACGTCACCACTGCTACTAGCTGCTTCGCTCGCTCCTCTGTCGAGATTTGTACGTCGTCGTTGGACCAATCTGAGGTCTGTTTTGGGTATAGGACGGACAGTCTGTATCCGTTGCCAAGACTGCGTTTGATTTCGATCGGTGAGCCTGTCGTATGGACTTGGCCCTGTGCAGGATAATCAAAGAAAGTGACGCATTTATTTCTGGGAAATATTGTTAGGTTTAATAATACTATGTGCCAGACAATTGGCTGGTCTTAAACTAGGGAATTCCCTGTGCTATGAGTACCAGAGCAACGGAATCCACTCTGGGGCACTTCCCAGAACACGCCGACCAGAACCAATTTAGAAAGATCATTTTTTAGTAGCCGTAGAGCGCTTTGTGAAAGAGTTCGTCTAGGGAAGTACTGCCACCTTATCTATATCTGCCGCCAAGCAGTAATGTCAGCATTACTGCGTTCCGGTTTTGAAGGGTACGGGTGTTGGTGAAATTACAAGTCCCATGTGGCTTGTCAACTTATGTCTCAGGGTGACGAGAGCAGTGGCAGTGCCCCTCAGATCCTTGTGATTAATATTAATAATAAAGCTCTGAGTGGTACTTTTTTTTTTTTTTTTTATTGTGACTCGGCAAAATGACTGCACCGCGCCTGATGGAAAGTGCGAATACAGTCCAGAGATGAGAGTAACGGATGGAAAACACAAATATCTTCACTCCGTCACTATCATTTTGCCGGTCTGGCCAAATGCTTCTTCACACTACGTTTGAAGGACCCGATGTTATAGAGGGGAGGGAATACATGCGCCGGGAGTTGGTTCCACAATTTGATGGTTCGGCATAAGAACGAATTGCCAAACTTTTTAGTGCGGGACGGTATTAAACTGACCGTCCAACTGTGGCAACGCAGTCCGGCACGGGTGGTCCGCTGATGGAAAGGAGAGGAAGGGATAAGGTTGAATAACTCTTCAGAGCACTCACTTCAGAATAACTCTTCAGAGTACTGCAACTGTTATGGACAGGCGTGTCGCTTACCATCACGATTCGTTGGTCCCATCACTTAGTTTTTTAAAAAACATCCTAAATTGGTCCTACCGAGAATCGAACTCGGGACCTCTGCATCCAGCGCCTACAATGTAAACCGTTAGACCACCAAGGTCGACAAAGGCGCAGAAACTCAATATGGGTTAAATCATGTCTTAGAAGCCAAGCATTTTAATAATGAGATTGTACAATGCTTAAAATTATTTTGTCACCTTATGCATGATGACGATCTGGTCACTGAGCAACTCAGCCTCGTCGAGATGGTGCGTGGTGAGCAGAATCGTTCTGCCTTGTCGGAGCTTCACTATCATCGACCAGATATCCCTGAAAAATAAAAGCTTTTTGTTACATTCCAATTGAAGAACAATGCCTAACTTAGAGGGTTCAAAGAAGCACAATATTAGGCTATGCGTAAGAGGTAAGCTTAATTTAGCAATAGTGTTATATATTATTGCAGTGATCAGGAAGTAAAGGATTGCCGGGAGAATATGAGTTACATGGCGTTTTGTTTTACATGAGTCAGCCAATCCCCGTTTCCGCCGTCGTTTACATAGTACTTTTCTCAAACTGTGCGAAGGAATAATAAAATATTAAAGGGAAATGTATAATAGTAAAAGTAAACAAGTGTGCGATGACAATTTTGCTTTTTTGTTTTGAATTAGGCGGAGTACAGTCCGTTATTGTATTTTCGTTCTTCTACTAGGACTCATTTTTGCGAAGGCAATATAAAAAAATAGAAAAAAATTAATGTTACAGAAAAAACTTTAAACTACTTTTGTTTATTTTACAGTTTTTTTAAGTATTTAAGTGGCGCAGGTATATTCGTGCACAATAATTTACCTATACGCAAAATAAGTAATATTACCATTGATGCTCGTCGGCTATGTAAAAGTTTTTGTTGAGTCTGTTCACAAAGCTCTTTTTTAGTAGATATGCTTACAAGTTTAGAGCAGCGGCCATAAATGGGCACACGTAATACTGATTCGTTTTTTAAGTAGTGCGAGCGTGTAGAGAAAAGCCGCACCTGCGGGCCGCGGGGTCCACGCCCGCCGTGGGCTCGTCCAGCGAGACCAGCTGCGGGCGCGCGACGAAGGCCAGCGCCACGCACACGCGCCGGCGCGAGCCGCCCGACAGGCGCCGCACCGGCTCCGCGGCCACCGCGCCCAGCGACAGCACGCGCAGGATGCTGCAACCATCCGTCGTGTCGTGTTTATGGGCTCTCGCACATAGACATGATACGACGTCGCATCGTGCCACCACGCGGCATCGTTTCACGATGCGACGGCGTATCGTGGAAATCTACGACACGACGTCGCAACGTGACACGACGCACGGCGCGATGTCGTATCGTAGAAACTCGCGGTGCGCTCTCCAGTGCCGCATTAATTTGTTATTCAATATTCAAAGATGACTTTGTATTCTTCTGATGTTTTGTCCCATAGTACAGGGCGCTCCTCGACTAGGGTTATTAAATAATCAACCTCAATATAGTTTGTCATCTTTTCTGTACTGTTCGTCCAGGGAAGCACTGCCACCTTACCTTTTTCTGCCGCCAAGCAGTAATGTGAGCATTACTGCGTTCCGGTTTTGAAGGGCAAAGGTGCTAGTGAAATTACAGGCACTTGAGACTTGTCAACTTATGTCTCAGGGTGACAGGCGCAGTGGCAGTGTCTCTCAGATCCTTGCGATTTAAACCTCTGAGTGGCACCGCAACTGTTATGGACAGGCGTGTCGCTTACCATCAGGCGCACAACTTGTTCGTCCCGTCACTTGGTATAATAATAAAAAAGTACCATTCCCATCACGATCAAATGCAGTTTCTCAATTTCAAAAATTCGGTAACAGAAGTTTCGAAGAATCTAAGACAGATTTCAGAATGATGGTTTCCTTAGTTCAAAGCAATGGAATGTAAGTTGATGAACAAACCTTGAGTAGGTATACTGCTTCTAAGAACTTAATACTTCTAATTATCATCACTCAGTAGACTTACAGTACATATCACATACCTTTGCACTTCATCTTGCAATTCTTCGAGCGGCAGTCCACTCTTCAGCTGTGCATATAATGCTACATGTTCACTGGCAGACAGTTCTTCAAATAGAACGTTTCGTTGTGGACAAACACCGACTTTCGTGCGAGACGTAGTCTCCGAACGGATCGTAATGTGACCCTTTGATGGCTTTAGCATGCCGATCAAGATGTTTCTGGAATAACAAACAGTTTTAAAAGCACTGTCGGAAGACGAGTCGTGTTCCAAAATTCTCATAACATCTTGCATAATTAGCTGTGTATATAAGAAAGTCGTCAGAAATACGTCGTTAGGTTCGCGCATGGAGAAAGAAACTACAGAGTCGCGAACACAATTTAGACGACACATTAAAAGGGTATGTATATTTGATTGATGAGATTGTGCGATCGATTGGAAGTGGAAACTGATAACCTTCAATGTAGTTATTTGAAATTATGTCTTTTTTGTAAATTGTTTCAAAGCAAAAAAAAACTGAAACTGTGTTAAAATATTGTGATCTGTTGGGAAACTATTTGAAATATCTTTTCAGTTAAATCAAATCCCGCGATCGGTAACGAAGAATACAGTAATTGTACAGATGAAACCGATATATCTTGATCAAATTATACATATACATGTCTCTGCTAACTTTTTGCACATAATATATATTGTATACTTCGTTTCAATCCAATTTGAACAAAATGTAAACTAACAAATCACTGACCATAGACGGTTTAGTGATGGCCACTCGTAATGCCAACTACAAATCGATTAATTAAATGAATGAACGGATTTGTTAAATTGAGTCTTCATACCGGTTTTCTTACATATCCTGTATACATGTTTAAACATATATTTAAAATTTCCGAAATCTTAATTTACAAGTCACTTATGTATAGATGAAAATAACATCAATTTTGGACTACCATTTTTCAAATACATTTTGCGATGCTGTTCGGATGAATGTTGTTGGAAACAGTGGTGAGATATCAAGTCGAGGTCTTCGAAATATACGAGAATATGTTGCTTGTTACAGTCCAGTTAGGTAAGTCCAACTTTGAGAAAGAGATCTCTCGTCGAATCCAGCTCGGATGGGCAGCGTTCGGGAAACTCCAAAAAATCTTTGCGTCCAAATTACCTCAATGTCTCAAGACGAAAGTCTTTGACCAGTGTGTGTTGCCAGTGATCACATATGGATCAGAAACGTGGTCCCTCACTATAGGCCTCCTAAGAAGGCTCAAGGTCACTCAGCGGGCAATGGAGAGAGCGATGCTCGGTATTTCCCTGCGTGATAGAATCAGAAATGAGGAAATCCGTAGGAGAACTAAGGTAACCGACATAGCTCGAAGAATTGCTCAGCTGAAGTGGCAGTGGGCGGGGCACATAGCTAGGAGAACCGATGGCCGTTGGGGCGGAAAGGTTCTTCAATGGCGACCGCGCACCGGACGACGCTCAGTGGGTAGGCCCCCCACCAGGTGGACCGACGATCTGGTGGAGGTCGCGGGAAGCCGATGGATGCGGGCAGCGCAGGACCGATCGTCGTGGAGATCGTTGGGGGAGGCCTATGCCCAGCAGTGGGCGTCGTATGGCTGAATGATGATGATGATGATGTTGCTTGTTCGATTTATTGAGTGATTGCTTTAGAATTTTAACCAAACAGTCTTGTTTGCTGTTTGTTCGGAATGGATTGGAACAGACATTACATCCTTTCTAGAATTGGTTACCTACGAGACAGGCTTTGCCTAGTGTAGGAGCCAGTGTAACCGGTTTAGATAAAGTTTAAAAGTACATGTCTTAAACATACGTATTCCATAATGTATAATATAATATATTCTCACTTCTATTCCTGTTATCGGTAACTGAACTGTATATGTTTTTATGTACAAATAAATGACTTACTTACTTACTTATATTCAAGGTTATCAGTTTCTACTACCAACCGACAGCGCGATCCAAGTATACATACACACCTCATTCAAAACTGGTTTCCGGTAACGATGAGAATTGCCCAAGAAACTTACATGAGCGTAGTTTTCCCAGCACCGTTGTGTCCCAGCAACGTAGTGACCTGTCCCTTTTGCATTTCTATGGAGACATTGTTCAAGGCAACTTTGGCTCGACGACTACCCTCGTGGTAAATCTTGCTCACGTTCACTATGCTCACTCCTGCTTTTTCCGTCGACGTCGTGCAGTTTGTTATACTGCTTTGGAGGGACTTTGGGCCTACGGAGTAGTTGAAACAGATTTTTGTTTTTTCTTTGCCGTGGGCTTCAGGAAGGATGACGCAAAATGCTTCGGGTGGTAAGCTTATGACAAAAGGTCGGAGTATTCCGGAGTTTCCAAACACAAAGGCATGTTTTTCTTCATTATGTCGAATCAATAAGTAATAAAATAACAAACTAGTGTAAAATTTGGCTCGGTAAGCGGCTACCTCTATGTATCTGCCTGAGTAACCTATCACAAAATCGAAATTTTTTTTTGTTCGAATTTTCGTTATACCGAAAACCGAATTATGACGAAACAGTTGCTCTTTCGGGATATGTTGAATGTTTATCGCAAAGACACGATTAGGTTCGGTTAAAAAAACATTTTCCTCTCAAAATTACTTAGAGGCGAGGTTATGAAATTTCGGCCAAACGTTATTTCTGGAAAATGACATTTCGAACTACTGATAGGACGAACTCCCGGCCTGTTGCCTTTAGCAGGTCCACGTGACTGTCCGACCCACTGTAATGTATTATATTTAATAACGTGCCAGACAACCACACCAATTGCCTGGACTCAAACTAGGGAATTCATTGTACTATAAGTACCAAAGCGGAATCCACTCCGGGGCACTACGGAACACCAAGACCAGAACCAATTTAGAAAACTTTATATCATAAATTGGTCCTACCGGGAATCGAACCCAGGTCCTTCGCAACGAACCCCCACAGTATAAGCCGTTGGGCCACCGAGGTCGTCAAATATAATATACAACTGAATTCAAGTGAATTCTGTTGTCTTCTTAGAAGAGATCGTATTATAAATGTAAGTCTGGTGGCAATCGACCCACAACAGTCGCAGTGTCACTGAGAGCTTTAATTTTTACCGCAAAGATCTAAGGGGCACTGCAACTGCCCCAGAGACACAAAGTTGACAAGTGACAGGGTCGGCACGGGACAGGCTCTGCCTAGTGTGGGATATATGTTACTGTAATTTCACCAGTACCTTTACCCTTCAAAACCGGAACGCTGTAATGTGATAATTACTGCTTTTCTACATACAATAACTCTTTACATGGAGCTTTACTTGTAAAACTTGCTCAAAAAAGATTCCATTTAGTACAATTAACCATTGACTTAGCATCTATTACTCGATTCATTGATATGTCAAAGAAATTGCAATAGGGAAGCTACTTAGAACGACCTACGAAAAAAATTATTGGTACATAGAACGCTTGACACATAGACTTTAATTCCTATCGCGCTCGGCATATCAGGTGTTAACTTACCGAAAAATCTATCCAACAAATATCCAATAGTTAAATAAAGAGCAGCGTCAAACAGCGTCATGATCGCTGCAGCAGCGATGCTGAGGTCTTCATCGTCTGCCGTCGCGGTTATGTCGGACCACTGCGCACCCACCCCTGTGGCTTCGAAACGCGCGATGTACAGGAACATGTAGCTGATCGCCGACGACATAGAGACGCACTAGCGATCATAAAATTTTCGTAATAATAACAGCTAATTGTGGCAATTGGATTTCAGTGTCGTGTCGCTTTCAGCACAAAACGGTGCTACTCGATATGACATGTATCCTTTGAGGGTTCTTAAACCTAATAAGACCTTGACCCCGGCTGTGTCGGGATATAAATTTTAGACAAATTGTAATCCGAAATAAATAATAAAAATATAAATTACTTATTATAATGGAATCTAGTGCTAATAAAAAGGGTTTAACTTCAGCAATAAAGGGTCCATATTGAAATCATTTAATAATGTCTATACATTCGCTACCGCAATTGCAACACTTCATATATGTTACCTAATGAATAAAACGACATCAATAACTTTTGAAAGTAAAACTAAAATATCCAACGTTTTAAGGTTAAACGCTATCCCATACATTTAATATGACATTCGTAGAGGGGCTTTAGTTGACCTACTTTAGAGGTAATAATAAATTTACATATAACAAAACCAACAATGAGGTACCTTCTTTCCAACAAAAAATAATCACACAAAAACATACACACAAAAAAAAACAGTCGAATTGAGTCGGGTCTCCTCCTTTTTTTGAAGTCGGTTAAAAAGTACCAAGATTAAACGGGCACGTATAATGAGACTGATTTATGAAAATAAGGACCATAGATATATGATGATACAAGTCCAAACACAAAATAGGCAAAGGTAAGGCAATGTATGATTATCCAGTTAATAAAACCAAAAACTTACAACAATGAGCTTGACCGTGGCGGAAATGACGGCTTCCAACGAGAGGATGATGACGAACGGCATAAACGTGACGAGGTACATGATGGCAGAGCACACAGCCGCTATACTCGCCGAAGAGAACAGCTTCGACATCATGTAGCTGTTCATCAAAGAATTGATAATAAAGATTTTAGTGCCAAGTTCTTACTAAAAGCACGTTCTTTTAATTATTGTTTATTTATTCATTTTCAAAAGGCACACCAATAGCACGTGTATTAATACATTTAAAGAACTTAAGACTAAGAAGAACAAAATCCGAGACACAAGCCAATTATAGGTGTACCATTGACTTACAAATAAATGGACGACGGGTCTAATACGAAAACCTCGAAAAAAATGTCCCAAGTCAACCTATTTAAACGTAGTGACATGTAAAGGAATATGAAAAAGCTAAAACGTTAGATTTAAATTGTAATGTCATCGCAGTACTGTCTAATTTTGCTTGCTTCGCTGTCAGTCGAACAAACGAAGACTAAAGTTCGGACACTTTTTAGCGCGGACCCGACGTCCATATAATTGTAAGTCAATGAGGTGTACACAACATTCAATACTAACAATTAGAGGCCGAGTAAACTAATGATTGATTGATGTAGGCCCCAAGTTGGGCGCCAAGTTTTTATGGGAGCTCATACATTGATCCGTCTCTGTCTAATTGGTAGGCTTCACCATTGTCATTTTGACGACCTACATGGTTTGCACAAAGGTTTACATGGTGTCGCCATCTCTGAGGTCCTGGGTTCGGTTTCCGGTCGGGCCAATGTAGAACGACTAACTTTCTATATTGCCTTGGGTGTGAGTGTTTGTGGTACAGTCGGTGCCGTCACTTAGGTATCCACTATTTGAATAGCCTTTAGTACAAATAGTGGATATCTAAGTAAGTGATAAGAGGACACCGACCCTACCGTCGTTGTTTCCGACGCAATAACACAAGTGGTTTAGTTACTTTGGGACCAGATTACGAGAACGTATGCGATGTTGTTTAACATTTCAGAAATAATTTGCATTTTGCTATTTGTTGTATAAAACACAAATGCATTCATAAAATATGTATTGCAATTTATATGAATTATTTATGATTTATTTTTCTGTGTTAATGTTGTAACGTACCTGAAGGAAAGTACAGACAATCCAAAGATAAACAGCAATACAAAAATGAGCGACGTGCTGGTATATGGTAGAACGTGTCCCATTTTGAGAATGATTGTCATGCAAGAGACGGTCACCAATATCTCGAGCAGCGACGCCAAGAACCATGACAATGTGTGGTACGTCAGGTTAACACCCATTCCGAACATCAACTGGAATAAAGATAATTTCATGTAATTAATAAAAATAACGCACACACTTATAGCCCTAAGGAAAGCCTGTATTGCGGATGCCATGAAACATGGAACTACAAATGTAACCCAAACTCACGAGTTAAATAAATGCAGGCTATACAAATATTTCTCCCAACCCAGAACCTTCAGTTACGGTTTTGAAGGGTAAAGGTGGAGGTGAAATTACAGGCACATGGGACTTGTTAACTATGTCTCAGGGTGACGGGCGCAGTGGCAGTGCCCCTCGGATCTTTGCGATTTAAAGCTCTGAGTGGCACTGCAATTCTTGTGGACTTATATAAGGTTATAAGAGGGAAGTTTGAAGGAAAGAGATAATGTGACGAAGTTCTTTAGACCAAATACCTAAGGAAAATACTTTAAGTCGTGTCATATACGAAATTCAAAGTTAGTGCCTTAAATAGACTGATTTTAGATAAGAAAAAGAACACATTTATAATTACAGACTACTTACAAGTTGCCTATCATTTGAGAGCTGTTAAATTTCCGGTTAGTTGTGTCAAGGTTATAAGTAAGTCCTTATCAATCAAGTACATGGTCTTGGTCGCTTGATGAAGATGTTATTAACGTCTATTAATATAGGACAGTTTGAAATGTGTCTCATCTTTTTAGCCTATACGACAAATCGTATTGTTACAGAAGCTGTTTAATAATACGGGTATTGTCTTTGGCTAGCATCCCAGTCAGGTGGAAAACCTGGCTGTTTATTGCTTGAGATAACACAAATGAAATGGAAACTATTTTGGACCAAATCGCGTAATTTAAGCAAATCAACGTTACGGTCTCTTTACAGGTGCCATCATTAAGGCTGACAGGTCAGTCCGAAAAACAGTTGCTAAATGAACATCCATTAATTAGCATCTCGCTAATCGGTTTAGGTGGCAATGTTTTGTCTTTCTATCTAGACTTTCTCGGAACGGGGACTTGTCTGTTTCCAACGCAACGAGAAGTTATTTCTTTTTCTGTGTTTTCTGTACTTTCATGTTATATTACAGGGATCATAAACTCTTTTCATGTGTAAAATAACACTCTACTAGTTTGTTACACAAAGAAAATTCCTTCAATTCGGCTGGTGTCAAACCACCGCCAGTTTGCCAGACCGCGTCTAACCGCTTTCCAAGCCGAGCTACGAAACGAATCAGCAGATTTTACGAATTTTTGTTTGTGTCAATAATAATTCTAGTGGAGTATACTCCACAAACAAGTTTGTTTCTTGTATACAAATTAGAAATTTCATATAATGACATAAAATAATAAAACGTCAGTTAAGTTCATAGGTTTTCGCGATTGTTACACATAGGAAATGAAACTATTTTTCCGGATTTAAATCGCGTATATTTGTTTTTTCAAACAAACCGACGTTTCGGGCTCTTTACAGGTCCCATGGTCACGGTTGACTGAGGTGGTACAGTCTTCAACCAGTTAGGTCTAATATTGATGCAAACCACCCTATTTTTTTCATTATAGT